GCAACACCGCATTGTCGAAAATATTTTAGTTGGCTAGAGAATGTCCGAATATGCCCTCCATTAAATTTTCAAAGTGTTCCGTTGTCTGGTTCACCAGAAACGTCTAATGTGCCATCCACCGTGAATCAGCCTGTATATACACTACCAACACGCAGATCTGGAAGTCTAGTTGACAGTGCGGTACGAAGTGATCTAAAAGACATTTGAATGTGAAATGAAGGTAAATTCAATTGTACAGTGTGGTCAATTACTGGCAAACCCAATGGTTACACTGAGCACCAGATACGTATGCTCACATAACCAACCCAAGACATTAGTTCAAGTCGAAGTAAACAAAACACAGTTTTTTGTGAGAAAAAGTACTTACCTGAAGAAACATTTCTCCATCAAGGGGGGTGTGATCAAAAGCGGTGAGATCCCTCGGCCGATGAAGACCAGCTGCATCGTCCTTGTCTTTGTGCATGACCACTGCAAAAAAAAGTTGATTTCAGTTTCCCGCCTCGGTCGTCATCAGCGAATCACCCAGTATAGAGAATTAGAAATGTGCAAGCATTTCCATGATTATGCGGTCACACGAAACTCGGTTGTGAAAATCGCTGCAATTGTTTCATGTTAATTCATTAATTAATAGCTAATTAAGAGTATGCGATATGTGCGTTGTAAATTGTGATCGCTAGCGTAAAAAATTTTGAATCGCTATTATCTTAGGTTAGTTATAAATAAACAAACAATGATTATGGAGTGTGAAGTACAAGCTGAGTTGTGCGCTCTCTTTATAGAAGAAAGCGGATTAATTTCGAGCGGATCTCAAATAATTGGACTATATATTTAGATAGGAAAAGTTATAGGACGCAATTGGAAGGAATATTGGCCACCAATACCACCGGACTTATTTTCAATGGTTTTTTTTCTATGGGGCTATCTGAAACAAAAAGTGTATGAGCAGAGAGCAGAGACACATCTTCTTTTTATTAAAAATCCTCACAATTTGTGAATGAAATGACTATAATTTTTATAGAATGGGAAGGACGGCATACTGAATGATGAATTCGGGTTCTCTTATTGGGATAAATCAATGAATGTTGTGATGACTTGTTGTGAATTTCGTTATTGTTATTTTGGTTCAACTTTTCACACATCCAATGTTGCAAATAAAGACTATGATGTTGCTAAATAACCAGTTTTGGTTGAAAAATGGAAATTTATCCACGTAGTTCGAGAACATTAACTAAAAGGTCGGCATTCGGTCAAAGTATCGGAAATAATGACGAACTCCCAGGAAGCCTCATTAATAGTTGATCAGATGTCTGATCCAGATAAATATCAGCCCGCGACGAAAAATTGTTGTATCAGGTGCATGAAAATATTCAGGAGACACTTCGCTTGTTCTGCATAAATTATGTGCGTATCGAGCGGCGAATCTTTGCAAAAATGCATCTGTCAAAAAAACATGCAATGCGACGTATGAACCGCAAATTAATAAATAGCGTTGATCCGGTATAATTGGCTCTCTTTATAATGGAAGTACTTCAATTTTTTATGGCCTCATTATAACGCTTCTGGTATTAATCGCGAATGCATCTGATAATTGAGCAATTTATCATAACGTTTTGCGTTACGAGCACTTCCTTCCTCGTAGTTTTTTCTTATACTTGGATATGTCGAGGCGATAAAACCAAAAAACAAAGCGAAACAGTGAGAAAAATATATTTTTGATAAAAAAAAACATTTTNAGCAGGCTATATACAGAGGTTCAGATTGAATTGGCAGATGCATTTTCGCCAATTATATTGTGGCGCCGGCGTTATTTTCTTAAGGGCATGGTTTACAACAATATGAAAAGGTTCAGCCCAAATTAGTAGGTTAATTTCCTTCAATTATACTTAGGGGTTCAGCCTGAATTGGTAGGTAACTTTTCGCCAATTATATAGAAGGTTCAGCTCAAATTGGTACGTTAATTTCCTTCAATTATAAACAGGGGTTTAGACTGAGTAAGTAGGTAAATTTTCACCAATTATGTAAAAAAGTATAGCCAACATTGGTAGGTTAACTTCTTCCAGTTATATACAGAGATTGAGCCTTAATTGGTGAAATTATTTCAACCAATTATATACAAAGTTCAGCTCGAATTGTTAGATTGATTCATACAGGATTTCTGTCCGAATCGGTAGGTGAATTTCCGCCAATGATATAAAGCGGTTCAACCCCAATTGGTAGGTTAATTTTCACCAATTACATACAGGGGTTCAGCCCGCACTAGTAGGTTGATTTCTGCCAATTATATACAGGGGTACAGCCCCCATTGATAGGTTGATTTCCGCCAATCATACACAGGGATACAGCCGGGATTGGTAGATTAATTTTAGCCAAATATATACAGAGGTTCAGCCTGAATTGGTAGATAAATTCCCGCCAATTATTTAAAAAGGTTTCGCTCAAATTGTTAGGTTAATTTCCGCCAATTATATGCAGAGGTTCAGCCTGAAATGCTGCCAATTATATACAGAGTTCAGCCCGAATTGGTAGAATATTTTTTACCAAATATATAGAGGGGTTTAGCCCACATGGTTAGGCTGATTTCTGCTAATTACATACAAGGGTTCAACCTTGATTGGTAGGTTAATTTTCGCCAATTATATGCAAGGCTTCAGCCCACATTGGTGAGTTAATGTTTGCCAATTCAATATAGGAGTTTAGCTTACATCGGTAGGTAAATTTTCGCTCATCAGGCATTACTGGGTTGATTTTTGCTGGTTATATACAATGGTGGGTCAATTTCCTCCAATTACATACCTGTGTTATGCCCGCAATGGTAAGTCAATCTTTGCCAATTATGTACAAGGGTTCAGCGCACATTGGAAGTTTGATTTTCGCAACTTATATACAGTGGTTCAGCCCGCATTGTGAGGTTAATTTCCTTCAATTGTATACAGTTTATTGTGCTTTAAGCAAGTCACTCTATTGCTAGTGAAGAAGTAACCCCAGCAAGTCAGTCAGTAGATTGTCTATCAAAGAGTAAAATAAAATGAAATTTCTGTTTATTATTTTGATATGACCCCGCACCTGCCCCATTATGCCGCCGTCACGTCGGATGGAATAGGGAATCGCTCGCTCGTCTGCCTCAATAACACCTGCCACGCTCCAATCACGAGTCCATTAGGAGGTTTATTGAATAGGCAAGCTAAATATGACAAGTTGCAGCATCATCGTGACTCGCAGAATCAACAACAGCTCTTCCGCATTAGTTTTGCATTTAACGAGTCAATACAAGCGATGACGTGGCGGAACATCCGATTAGTGATAGATTGGGGAATTTATCGCGGTTCTCCACAAGTTTTCTAACAAAATTTTTATTTCACTTCTGTCACTTCTCCTACAGAGGATTTGACGGATGTTGGCATTCTAATGAACCCATGAAGGCATTAACCAATTATACATTACATAGGATCTTTCAAATACTCATCAACAGAGTAATAGGCTTTGTCAATTAAAAGTTTTTTCACATACTGTTTGAATTCTCTCAGCGACATTTCTCTAACATGAGTTGACAATTTATTAAATAATTTGATACCCATATAAAAAGGACTTGATTCGGTCCTG